TTAACGCGTTTTATCATATACGCGGTGCCTCGCCAGAGCTGAACTTTCACTTAACACGGATTTTTTCCACATATACGCGGTGAGTGTCCGGCTCGAGACGCTATTTTTAGATTTGCCCCACCCGCCACCCTGCCTGACTGCCTGTTTTAGCTCATAAAATTCATACAAATTACCCGGCCAGAATATAATTTACATTGCTGGAATTCTTATAATTTGGTGATCATTTTGAATATAAACATCATATATTTTGCATTAGACATACAAATTTTAGATAAAAATTTTTCTCAGAGTAACTATGTTATCTTTTGTGCAAAATATATGACATTTATATTCAAAATATTCCTGGTCTTACAAGGAATCCAGCAATGTCAATTATATTATCCTAACTTTAGTTTGAGGTATTATTTATTAAAATTTAGTGGTTATCCCACACATCTCCTTGGGACGGTTGGTGGGGGTGGGGGGGAGGGAGGGACCGACCGACCATCTGTTACCCTGTGAAGAATTATTTTTTTTTTTATTAACTGAAGATATTTGTTTTAGCTCATAAAATTCATACAAATTACCCGGTCTGAATATAATTTACATTGCTGGAATTCTTATAATTTGATGATCATTTTGAATATAAACATCATATATTTTGCATTAGACATATACAAATTTTAGATAAAATTTTTTCTCAAATTAACTATGTTATCTTTTGTGCAAAATATATGACATTTATATTCAAAATATTCCTGGTCTTACAAGGAATCCAGCAATGTCAATTATATTATCCTAACTTTAATCTGAGGTATTATTTAATACTAAATGTTAAAAACTCTGGAAGGGAGGATTGGTGGGGGGTGGGGGGAGGGTTGGGACTGACCGCGCGGTTGGAAGAGGGGGGGAGGCAAGGTGGGGTACTTTGATTGACAGATAGTGTCGTGAAGATTATTTTTTTTTTTATTAACTGAAGATATTTGTTTTAGCTCATAAAATTCATACAAATTACCCGGTCAGAATATAATTTACATTGCTGGAATTCTTATAATTTGGTGATCATTTTGAATATAAACATCATATATTTTGCATTAAACATACAAATTTTAGATAAAAATTTTTCTCTAGGTAACTATGTTATCTTTTGTGCAAAATATATGACATTTATATTCAAAATATTCCTGGTCTTACAAGGAATCCAGCAATGTCAATTGTATTATCCTAACTTTAGTTTGAGGTATTATTTATTGAAATTTAGTGGTTTTCCCCCAAAAATTTCTCTGAGAGGGAAGAGCCGGCAGTGTAGTGTGAGAGGGGGAGGGAGTTGAGTCCATTATTTGAATGGACATTAACTTGGCGACTGTATTTCTCTTAAGTATTAATTGTGTGCATGTATCATCATAAAATTAAGATGTTATTTTTACTACAACATAGGTATGTGCCTTCAAAAAGTGGAGTTTGAGGGTCGGGCCGGTTTCTATTGGAATTAATCCCATATGTTCTGTTGTTCACTTAACGCGGATTTCACTTAACGCGGGACCCTCTGGGTTCAATTGACCGCGTTAAGTGGGGTACAACTGTACATTAACCGCGTAATATGAGGACCAACTGTATACTGACCACTGGGGCTAGTTATATATACTTTTCCCTGTTCAAAATTATTGCTTTTTAGTAATTAATTTAGTACATCTGAGTACAAGTGATAATTGTAATGATTTTTCCACAACATTGTGGGTCTACACAGAGAGAGACTATCCAGCCTCATATGGAGAGGTCTGGGTGAATAAATTGCCTTATTTGGCTTGTCATGTAATTTTCATGTCAAATTATACATTTTTTTCACTAGCGTTTAATATTTTATATTATCAATGATAAAACATACACCAACGAGTCAGCCAGCTTCCCTCCTTACCTGCCCCTTCCCTCCAACTCTCAATGTCTCGCACACACAAGACTTTAAACTTTAGATGTTGTGGTGTTTGGGTAATAATTAATGAATAACTGGCTAAGGTTAAAAATGCTTCAAAGCATTAAGGTGGATGTAAGGTACAGTAGATGAGTAGATGATTAGAGTGGGTCTTATGTTTGACCTGACCTGTTGTTACTCATTTTTTATAAGCTCTTCTTTTGTTTAGGGTGATGGTGGTGTGTGAATTAGTGGATCCCATGTTATTAACCTGATCTGATGTTATGTATGGTCACTCATTGTATATAAGCTTCTCAGTCCCTGTAAATTCAGTTACCTCTGAAGATGTCTTGAATAAAGACAAAAGCTAAGGTCCTCCAGTGTTTCCCTTTTCCTGTGTGGTTTTAGATGTTATTAGTAACAGTTTCAGAAATACTCCCTACTAAAAATGGAGTTGAATATTATATGGTGTGTTCTATATAATTATTTATCATTTACAAATATAAACATTTAGTACAATTGCCATAGGCTGAAGTAGGGTTTACTGTACTGTGTTCGAGTTGTCTCTGTAGGTGTGAGGGTATTAGTGGAATTAATCTTGATTTAGCAAACTAGTTCACTAAGTCAAGCAAAAAATAACAGAATAAATTCCTTCTGCTACATCAAGAGTTCTTTATATCGGATTACGTTAAATTGAGTGTACTGTATACTGTAATATCCTACCGTTCAAATATGCTCAGGCATTTAAAAAATACATTACAGGTACACCACCGATTTTCCAGGACTAATGGTCCGGCACCTCCTTTAGTCCAGACAAAATTATGAGTGGGGCACTTAACTTCCCTCCCTCCCTCCCTCCCAGGCTGGGTGAAGGTAGTTTTAGGATTAAAGTTTTTATCTTATAAAATGTAGCGGACTAGACTAAGCAGAATATAAATTGCATTGCTGGAATCCTTGTAAGTTGGTGATTAATTTGAGTATAAAAATCACATAGTTTGCACAAGAGATAAAAATTTAGTATAGTACATTTGAGTACAAGTTTTTCAACTCCTATTTTCGGGTAGATATACGTAACTTTCTTCACTTATTTTTACTCATTTACATGCACACACCATCCAAAATATATACTGTGAAAAAAAGTAAAAGAAATAATTGTCCTAAGAGCAAACTTGTACTTAAATGTACTAAGTTAATTTCTAAAAAATTTATGTCAAGTGCAAACTATGGGAAGTGTGTACTCAAATTAATCATTATCTTACAAGAATTCCAGCAATGCAAGTTATATTCTGCCAAGTCAATTCAGTGACATTTTAAAAGCAAAAACCTTAAACTCCCTCTATATGACTGATAAATACGCACTTAAGTAACCTCCCCCCTCCTCCCAGCCAGGGTGAAGGTGGTTTTAGGCTTAAAGACTTAACATAATATAACTTGAATTGCTGGAATCCTTTTAAGATAATGATTAATTTGAGTATAAACATCACATAGTTTGCACGAAAAAATTGTTTTAGTCCTTTAGTGTATTGTACATACAAGTACAAAGTGAGTACAGTAATATGTTGCTCAAAATTATGGCTTTTTCACATTTAACATTTGTTTAATTTAAGTTTCTAGCAGTCCATGGTGCTTTAGAGAGACAGGAGGTGTATCATTAGCGGGTCAGAGGTGTATTGTTGAATTATTATTACCTGACCTCGGTTGGTCAGGCAAAACGGATAATCCGGCAAGGCTTTGGAACCAAGGGTGCCGGAAAATCGGTGGTGTACCTGTATTACCTTCCTCCATTCAGTTGTACAACAAACTTCTTTTTTCCCCCCACAAATTTAAAGATGTTCTGATGAAATTGCAGTAGTTTCATAATTTTTTTATTTGTTAGCAAAAGTCATGTTATAGAATTATAAGGTTTAAAGTTAGTCTTTTTTCCCTAACATCAATGTGGAATAAAATTTTCATACATTTTGGAGTACCCGGTTTCCCTGTCTTAATGTTAATCAGGAAACCTTGCCATGATCATGACATTTAATCACTTCTAAAAGTCCTGCCTCATCTCAGATAATGCAAATAAGAGATAACAGGGCAACATATCCATCAACTAATACAATACAGGTAATAAATGTTCTTGTGTACTTAGAACTACATTAATACTACAAATAATGATTACCAGGTAAAACCAGGTCTCAACTTTAGCATCCAAGTTCCAGTAGAGTAACAATCATTTTAATATAACCCTCATGGAAATCTAAATTTTTCTTTCATAGCTTTATCAGACAATGTTTCCATTACCCAACTTGGCTTTTGTGTCCTGACTGTAAAACATTACAACTTCATTTCTAGCAATACAACTGGTGCATATTGTGTAGTTTTTTGTTGAGTATGACTAAACCAAAATTCCCCCAAACTGGAAAGATTATGTAGCATATTTCAAGAAAGTAAATTATAAACAAAATTAAACCTAATTTGAGTAAAGCAGGTGTAACAACAGACTTTTAATATAACAGTCTTGTACAATGAATGGTAAGCTCTTCAAGTGTTTCAAAACTACTTAATATACTCAACAAAATATATGGACATCTTGCAATATTTACAGCTATCCTTGGGGATGGGGGGCAGACAATTGAGGAGTTATAGAGACATCTGCAATTAGGCATTAATATTCAAATTTTCTTTACATTGTTATGTGCATTTATGTGAAAGATGGAAGTGGATCCCAAAGGCCTGATGGCACATTAGGTAAGATGCAGTACTCCAAAGGAAGCAATGTGGCCAGTCCTGCACTCAACCATTTTCACCTCCCTAACTGTCAAGTACCCACATTTATGGCTGGGTGGACTAAATGTGCCAGAAAATTCTATCGAGGGCTAAAATAAAAAAGTGACCACCACTTTAGCATATAATTTCACTATAAACTATTATAGAAATTACTCCATTCTACATTTTGCAAGCTGTGCCATGGCATGTTTCAACAATGCCTTTAGTTTGTTACTTGTAGTAAACTGACTATTGTACCTAGAAATTAAATTCATATTTCATCATAATATACTTTATTGAATAATGTTTTATGCAAAATTCATATGCTTGAAGATGAATCAGTGGATGTAATAAAAGTAAGAAATCGTATGTGTACAACTTCATTGAACCTCCTGTAACTATCTGGTGAACCAATTCAAAATGAGGCCAGCACAAGTCCTGAGCCTGATCACAGACATGACCTAGCCCACATGTGATACCATTTGCAAAGGAGCCAATTTTACTAATTACAATGATCTCTACATACATATATTGATCCATGAATAATCAATTATATAAAAAAAAATCACAAACTTCAAGTATCATTACAACTTTTTGCAGTGTACACAAAACTGAAATTTAAGTGGCATGTTTCAAAATAAAACCTTTGCACTAAGTGTTGCACTAAAAAATACACTTCAGCAAATATAAGCCAATTACTTCTCAACCTGGGCAGCCCTTAAGACCCATAGAATTAAACCTCCTAATATTTGGCTGATAACTGCTGATTACAAGTTAATTTTTTAGGATACTACTCAAATTCAAATCTTGAAAATGCATACAATTGCAAGGTGCAACAGGTTTGCTAGTGGATTACTGTAATGAGTTGCATAAAAATGATACATACATGTCGTTCACTCCATTAGTCAACTATACCTATGGAAACAAATTCATTCTGCAAGCATTTAAAAATATTAGTTACAAAATTAAATTATTGCTTCACTACACAACAGCCAGGCATTTTTTCATATATACCTCCATTATCCTTCCAGTATTAACTTTACCAAAACTTTCAAATGTGTGATATTAATAAAATTATAATCTAATGTTGCTATTAAAACATTACATACCTATTCAATAAAATGATACAAAATTCCTTGTAAAATCATAAGATTCTAAAGTTCTGATCACAAGGCCACAAATTAAATAATTTCACAATATCCCAAACTATGAAAATAAACCTAGAATGCCAGGTAGGAGAAAAACAATGTGTGTGTTCTGTACACCTTTATTGACAAAATTGTATTGAAAAGATTTTTTGAATACTGTACTAATGAACCAAACAGCCTTGTATTTCTAGGTACCTGCTTCCCATGTTTTTTACTGGAAAAATTATATAATCAAAATAAAAAATTACTCATATCCACATCCATGAGAAGCAGGCAAAGCTGATAATTGTCCCAATGACCACCAGGCTCTTCCATGAAAACAATCTTAACTAGAGCAGGCTCAGCAGTGACCTGCCCTTCATGACAGTGATTCCAATATTATGTGTTGCTGCTGGCAGGGGACGACTAGCGAGTCACAGAAGAGCCCGACAGCATATAAGGAAAGACAGTATTGGCCCTATGCAGCTAAAATAATAATAATAATAATAATAAACTTTCTGGCATCCAATAATACGATGGGCAGAAAAAAGTCTTGAATCAAGTCATATGATCCTAATAACATAACAATACACTCTGCCAAATTATTTTTTTAAAATCCAATTTTAAATAATTCATGACAATATAAGGCTAGGGACATGTAGAGACATTGTAAGAGATATAATATTAAAACAATAGCCTAGCAATGATGATATCTGAGGTGATGTGTTATGGATCGCCTACTTCCCATTCATCTTGTAACATTAGGAAAAATCACACAGGCTGGAACTTGGTGGGATAAGTGAAAGAGAAGAAAGGTGGTTGGGTGGGTGAGAAGATACTGGAAAGACAAGGGGAACATTACACAAATCTAAATAACACGCTCAACTCCTGGTCACATGAAAGTAATCATAGAGGTTTCCATAGTCGCTCAGAACAAAGCAGGTTGGCTCGGGACACAGACAAGAATAAACAGAGGTGTTACAGTGGGTGAACTAAGAAGAGAACGTCACAATGGTAAATTGGTTTCGAGGGCTCCTGTCCCTTGTTTTGTTATCTTTCCCCCAACCATAGAGTCAACTGGCCACACACTAGCAAAATAACCCAAGAATTACCCACGATTACAACTACAGAACGCAAGCGTGATCATTTTTAAGGGTGGATGAGGCGGCACTTCCCTGTGTACACATCATACCTAGGTACAAATTGGAGCCGCTGGTGGCAGTGGCACTTCACTTGGGGGCTAGTGGATTCCGGCCCTGACTGAGTAAACAATACTTTCTGCGCCAAATAAGTGGCTGCTGGCCAGAGGTGGGTGGTGGTGATAGTGCAGTGATGAACTGTCACAAAGTGACAGTGATGTGGTCTATCCACCAGATAGTAGTAAGAGTGATGGGTGGTAGTAAAAGTTGTTAAAAAACATAATCAGCAGCAGGATGAAGAAGAAGAATAGGTTCAGCAGCAGCAGCAGCAGTCAGGGTGATGGCAGCGGCAGCAGCGGTCAGGGTGGTAGTGGTGGTCGTTATGGCAGTGGCGGGGGATGGGCATGGGCGCTCTCTGCCACTAGGCCACCGGGGGATCACATGGCATACTTCCTGGTCCATTCTCTGGCCAGTTCATTGTACTTTTCCCTATCTGTCTTGTAGACTCGTGCAATCTCGGGCACCAAAGGATCCTCAGGGTTAGGGTCCGTGAGAAGTGAACAAATGGACAGGAGCACTGAAAAAGAATTAAACAATTACTTTTCATGATCAACTCCTGGAGTGCCTCAATTGTTCTCAATTTCACATAGGGATGTCTCTTCATACCAACTCCTCACCCCAAAGGCAAAGAGTGTACTGCACTGACCCTCAGTCTTTTTGCAATAATGCTTGTGCACCCCCAACAAATGTCCTCTTTTAGGCAGAAGCAAATATAGATAAATGACGATATAGTACATCCAAATAATGTCAATGGTTTGAATGAAGTAGTAAAGAAAGAGCACCCAAAATAATACTGTATGGATCATATGCTGAGGTATAATAACATACAGTATTGGGAAAACATCTGTTGGTGGGAAAAGTATGCGACACAAATAAATGGCCAGGCAGTGGTCAGAAATGAAAAGAAATATTAAAGTATAATTTGGCTATTATCGTATCACTTAGAATAACCAATGGCACAGGAAAGTGTTAACTCTAAGGTGGGTTTATATAAATATAAATTTCCATGGACCTATGCCCTAATAGACAAAAGCACCAAGTTGAGAAAAGGTACAAATTAAAAGGTTCTGGTATCAATTAATCAACTATACCTATACTCCTGAAAGACAATAGTATTACAAGATCTGAATAAAAAGTAAGAAAATGAGAGTATAGCCAATATTTTTTGAACCTCCAAAGTTGACTGAAATGCAACTGGCTCATTTATTATTATTATTACAGTAGAATCCCAGCTATCTGACATTTATGGGGATTGTGAGGGGCTGGATAAAGGAATCTCACTTAGGATACCCCCAATAGATCCTACAATGCAGTGCTACTACAGGATGACATTGCAAATTTGTGCCTCAGAAAAATGGACTTCATTACACTTATGAGGTGGCTTACAAAAAAATATATATATACAGTATTACCCCGCCTAACGCGGTTTCACTTAGCGCGTTTTACCATATACGCGGTGCCTCGCCAGAGCTGAACTTTCACTTAACGCGGGTTTTTTCCACATATAAGCGGTGAGTGTCCGGCTCGAGAGCTATTTTTAGATTCGCCCCACCCGCCACCCTGCCTGACTGCCTGTTTTAGCTCATAAAATTCATACAAATTATCCGGCCAGAATATAATTTACATTGCTGGAATTCTTACAATTTGGTGATCATTTTGAATATAAACATCATAGATTTTGCATTAGACATACAAATTTTAGATGTAAAGTTTATTCTGAGTAAATATGTTATCTTTTGTGAAAATATAACAGACATCAGCATATATTTCTACCGAGACGTTTGTCCTGTTTCAACGTCGTCGTGTTGCTGCCATGCTCTTGCCACATTATCTCGAATCTATTTATAGTAACATCAGCGAATGACAAACTGTGCTATGTGTGGGAAGTGTGTGTGTGTGTGTGTGTATGTGTGTGTGTGTGTGTGTGGAGGCGGTGGGTTGCTGGATTATAGCTACGTGGCCGTGCTCCCTCTTGATGTGCCATCACGGCATACACACGTTCTATAGTATTTTATGATATGCCAAGTATCAATTTTATTGTTTATCAGCAATAAATAAAGCAGTTCATCACCATTTTGCACAGTACAGTATTAAAACTTATGATTGTAGCCAATTTTTTTGGAATTTTATTTTTAGAATTCAAATTTAAAACCCCGAATAATTTATGACCCGATTAAATTTACTATATACTTATTTTATTCATATTGATGACGAATCTAGAAATATTGATGACGAATATAGAATACAGGGGATCTCGTTATACGAGCATTCTTTATAGTCGAATTCGATGATACGAGGTTAAGGAATTTGCACCTTATATTCGCTGTACAGTATAAGCGATGTTGTTTGATGATACGAGAAGTGAGTACACAGTGATCACTGGGGTTAGTTATACAGACTTTTTCCTGTGAAAAAGCCATAATTTTGAACAACATATTACTGTACTCACTTTGTACTCAAATGTACTAGACTTAAGAACTAAAATTTTTATCTCTTGTGCAAACTATGTGATGTTTGTACTTAAATTATTTGCTATTTTGCAAGGATTCCAATAATGCAGTTATATTCTGCTAAGTTTAGTCAGCGACATTTTATAAGATAAAAACTTTAAGCCGAAGACTACCTTCACCCAGGCTGGGAGGATGGGGAGATGTTGATAGCCAGGCGGCAAAGATTACCTAGTGCGTATTTATCAGTCATATCGAGGGAGTTTAAGTTTTCGCTTATAAAATGTCACTGAATTGACTTGGCAGAATATAATTAACATTGCTGGAATTCTTGTAAGATAGTGATTAACTTGAGTATAAACATCCCACAGTTTGCACTAGACATAATTTTTTGTAATTAACTTAGTGCATCTGAGTACAAGTTTGCTCTTAGGACAATTATTTTTTACTTCACAACATGTATTTAGGATGGTCTGTGCAAGTAAATGAGTAAAAGTAAATGAAGAAAGTTACGTATATCTACCCGAAAATTGGAGTTGAAAAACAACCATAACACCTCACAGCTTGGCCCAGTAGCCTGCCTGGTGGGTGATATGCAGAAATGTGTCTGCGAGTGATTCAGCCAGGCCGCACACCTCTCCCCTACCTCCCTGCAATCCTACCCCCAGCCACCTTCTCAGTGTTTGAATCTGCTATCCCAGTATGTCTGCTCGTACTGAATCACATTTATTTATGGTCATCACTATACTCTGAACACATCCCTATTTAACCCATGTATTATTTCCTCCATTATATGAGTTTTCACTATACGAGCAGACTCCAAAGAACGTACCTACTAGTATCATCCATATTTTACTGCAATTAGTAAAATTACATTTTCATATAAATAATAACTAAATCCTGATATGCATTATACAAATATATAGCACGCCCTGACAATTCACGGATTTTTAATTTGCAGACCTCGATTATTTGAAGGTGACACCCTGGATGTACTCAATAATGTTTTGAAGTTGCTAACACTTTCACAGCCGGGACAGGGAGCCATTCATTCTAGAGATGGTAATTTCTTTTAACTGTATTGTATATACCTGTACAGTGTTATCTCTGTTAGCCGGAATGATTGGTGTAGAGCACTTCCTGGAATGAGCAATTTTCAGTTTACGAAACGACTCTCTCAAAGCTGGAAAATCCCTCATCCCCAGAATTTTCCGAGAAACAAAAACTTTCTCGTTAGTTGCAAATTGCCCATTACATCATATCTGTAACCCAGAAAATATCCCCATCCCCGGAATTTTCTAGGGACTGGAAAATTTTCTCAGAATTTCCAAAACATTCGCCCGATTTTCATCTCTCGAACCTGTCAAAAAAAACTCCCCCATCTCAGGAATTTTCTGCCTATTGGCAAAATTTTCTCAGAATTTTCTGGAAAATGTACCCCCTTGGAGAAAGAAAGAAAGAAAGAAAGAAAGAAATAAATAAATAAATAACTCTCTCTCTCTCTCTCTCTCTCTCTCTCTCCTCTCTCTCTCTCTCTCTCTCTCTCTCTCTCTCTCTCTCTCTCTCTCTCTCTCTCTCTCTCTCTCTCTCTCTCTCTCTCTCTCTCTCTCTCTCTCTCTCTCTCTCTCTCTCTCTCTCTCTCTCTCTCTCTCTCTCTCTCTCTCTCTCTCTCTCTCTCTCTCTCTCTCTCTCTCTCTCTCTCTCTCTCTCTCTCTCTCTCTCTCTCTCTCTCTCTCTCTCTCTCTCTCTCTCTCTCTCTCTCTCTCTCTCTCTCTCTCTCTCTCTCTCTCTCTCTCTCTCTCTCTCTCCTCTCTCTCTCTCTCTCTCTCTCTCTCTCTCTCTCTCTCTCTCTCTCTCTCTCTCTCTCTCTCTCTCTCTCCTCTCTCTCTCTCTCTCTCTCTCTCTCTCTCTCTCTCTCTCTCTCTCTCTCTCTCTCTCTCTCTCTCTCTCTCTCTCTCTCTCTCTCTCTCTCTCTCTCTCTCTCTCTCTCTCTCTCTCTCTCTCTCTCTCTCTCTCTCTCTCTCTCTCTCTCTCTCTCTCTCTCTCTCTCTCTCTCTCTCTCTCTCTCTCTGTGTGTGTGTGTGTGTGTGTGTGTGTGTGTGTGTGTACGTGCATGAGTGAGTGGATACACACATATCCTGTATATACAATACAGGTAAAAGAAATAATTGTCCTAGGGCAAACACAAGGGAATACTGTATACATTTCTTTGCACATGAATAAAAATGTAACTTGGCTATTCGTGGCCATTTTGAGAACCCTATCCCAGTGAATTTTAAGGGCATGCTGTATAAAACAAAAACACGCCTTGCACACGAATGCTGCCGCAGCTTAGCGGGCATTTTGTTTTCACGTATCTGAACAGGAACAGAAAAAACTTTCTCAGGTATCTTTTGGCAACTTTGTGCCCCCTATTCAACATGAGCAAGAGAGCATGTGATGGTTTAAAAACTAAATGAAAGTATATAAGCTTGGCCAAGAAACTATAAGTGTTAAAATGACATGGAAAAAGGCGAGAGGTCTGTGGATATTTCCACGAGCTTTTGGGATGGCGGGATCAACAGTGAAAACTCTATGTAAGAATGAAGAAAAAATTCAAGAACGTGCTCAGTTGATGAAGAGAATGTTCAGAAGTTATTAACCCCTATGCCCCGGGTGACATTCCAGAACAGTTGACCGGCACGCCCGGGGTGACGTTCCAGAACGAGTGCCTTTTCCCGCCGCTGTTTGAATGCCCAACCCGGGTTAACATGCACCAGCATGACTATTTTTCTCTCCCGGAATACAGAGGAGTGTGTGACTAGGCCCAGTGCGGTCAATAACCATTCGCCCGTGGTCATGGAGTGTAACTCCTCAACTTCTCGTGCTCCCCCATCTACCATGCCAATCAAGCGTCGTCGCCACAGGTTGGATGATTGCAAAATAAGGACAGAACTGTTTTATTTGAGTGCTGTAGTGGTCGATTCTGGTGAAAGTGGTGATGAAGGCTATGATTATTAGCCTAGTGACCAAGAGGATAGCATCGAGTTAAGACGATGTTGTGTCAAACAGTGAAGAAGAGAAGGACGCA